ATGCCTCAGTTCCTGGGAAGTCACTGGCAAAAGAGGTGAGGGATGTGTGGGCGCGCAGAGGCCGCTGTCACATCCCCCAAGCCAGGGAAAGGCGTGAAGACTTTTGTGACTGCGTTGAAATGTGGGATTTCAATTATAGGAGTTAGGGAACGGGTGCGGCGACAGATGGAGATAAGTCGTAGGGGGCGCGCGAAACTCAGAAGCGCAGCGGCTAGGGTTTATCAGAAACTAAGTCTATAAAAGGCAAAGAGAAAGAGTGAAAAACACAAACTCAAAAACACACAAAAGAGAAAAGAAAGAAGAAAAGAAAGTGAGAAATCAAATGGCCTCTTCCTACCCATTTTCGTTGGATATCAACCTAGCTCCACCGACTCAGACACGGGGCCAAGCAGTGGCACCAGTATGGGTGCCCTACTTTGCCTCCGCACGGGAGCCCGTGATAGTAAATAACTCAATACTCCTGGACAACGATGTTGCCATTGGAGTTGGCAGAAATTTAGTGACTCCGAAAGATATACGTTTGCTGGGGACAAGGGATGACAAGCGGGTCACAAGTGATGCCCTGGCACTAAGCGTGCATAGTACAGCATGTGTCGCAAGTTTGGGTCTTCGCCTACTTGCGAAGTCCCATGAGGTAGAGGTGCTGAAAGGTCAGTTGGCGGCGGAGCGAAGTATGGTTGAAGAGTGTCAGAGTGCTATAAAAAGCTTGAAAAGGGAGAGGGCAAGGATAGTGGAGGTGAATCGACACCAGCTAGAAGTATTGCGGGACGAGAATAAAAACCTATCAAAAATGGTAGAGTTGTACTCTCGTGACATGCGAAAGCAGCTAGAGGACCTAGACCGACCGGGTAAACGCAAGCAAGCAGATCGCGAGAGTAATTACGCTCAAGCTAAGATTGCGATCTTTGGGAGCTCAGAAGTTGTCGTGAGCTCCCAAAAACAAAACCGTGAGGGTAGAGAGGGGGGCCCAAAGCGGACAATATCATGCTACGGCGGAGCCGATCTTGGGATGTGACAGGAAGCCCTAGACCGGCCGGGGAAATGCAAGCAACTAGATCGCGAGAGAAGTTGCGCTGAAGCGAAGATTGCGATCTTTGGGAGCTCAAGTGATGAGCCCCAAGAGGCTGTGCGTGAAGACCCTAGCGAGGACATCCAGAGGGCCAAACTAAAGGCTCCTATGGTCGATGCACCGAGCACCGAGGAAAAGTGAATTCTACTGCATTATTGGTGTGTTTTTTTTTTTTGTTGGTTTTTTGTTATTTTGTTTCTGAAATAAAAGAATAAAGTTGCAAAAGAAAAAAAAGAAAAAGAAAAAGAAAACACACTTCCCAAACTTAATTAAAACAAAGATGACAACCGAAAGGGACATGCGAAACACAATGCACCAGAAAATAGGGAGGAAAAGAAAGTAAAGTGAAAGTAGAAATGCTCCCCTTTAAATGGACGCGAACAGCAAATTGCTCGAGAAGCGAAGGGATCAAGCGAAAAGGGCAAACGACTGGACTGCAAATCCCTCATCAGCAGATGTCTATTTAAACCACTTCATGGTTGAATTGAGGAGTACCCTGCATTTCTTCCTGAAATCTCAGATAAGATCATTAGATAATCAACAAAAGCAATGGCAACCTCATCCACTCAGATCGATGATCTCAATCTTGAGTTATCCCTCGCACCACCGAATGCCCAGATAAGGGCTCCTCCAAACCCTGTCTTCCCAAACTCGTCTTATCATCATGGTTCGGCCTCAAACTTTGCTGAGGCAATGCCGAACAGAGCAGTACTACTGGGAGGCATGACTGCCAGTAAACTCACACCGGCTGATCATTTGCACGTGGCACAAAGGTCTGACAAGGTTGCAGTAGAGGAGTCCCACACTTTAACTATGCTCCATGCGGTCTCGGCTACAAATTTGGGCATGCGATTACTAGCGAGGACACGAGAGTGTGCAGCGCTGAGTGAGGAGGTGGCT